TTCAGCCCCTGGGTGCCAGTGTTTCTGGATTGATGTTTGAAGCTATAAGTCCTCTCTAGCCAGTATTTAGGTTTTATTTTCTCTATCACACTTAATACTGGTTTGGGATCGTCGACTGCCCCAGAGCTGGTTCCTTGATTGTTACTCCTGCTCTGATTCCCAGGTTCCACAAAAACAACTTTCCCGTGCAGTCTCTGTGAATAACCCCAATTGGATGATCCTATGTATTGGGTTTAATAATCAAAAGCAAAGATTTAAGGAGAAAAGAAAGAAAAAAAAAGAGCCAGAGTAGGTACATGAGCTCGCAACCCTCCACCATCCAGCTCTGTGTGAAATTCTCCCAAAGTCTCTTCCGCAAGTCCCCTCTCCCCTGGCACTAAGCAGCAGGCACACTGGGAAAATATGAGACTGCCTTTTTCCACCCAGTTCAGCTATGGGCTGATTTTTACAGTTCCCTTCTGCCAGCAGCCCTGTTGGTTCCTTTCCAAACTCGTGGATCACGCTGGCCTCAAAGGCCTCAGACTTGGTGGGGTGCAGATTTTCTCGCAGGTTCCTCTCTCAAACCTGAATTACAAACCGCACCTTTATCTAGGTGAAATCTGACCTTTCTGAGAGGAGGAGCAGGGCTATTCTGAGTCCACTTATTCGCTCTGCTTGAAAACCAGTGTTCCTGGGTTCCTACCTGATCCCTTGGTCTGCTCCAACATTTTTAAATGGAAAGAATCAAAAACACACCACACATCCCTTATTTCATTCTAACGTACTATCACATTATTACTGTTGTTGCTGTGTGGGTTACTGGGGGACTGCCCCACTAGCATGCCATGTCCATGAGGACTGGGGTTTTGTCTGTTCTGTCTCATACCTGCACCCCCAGTACTTAGAGCAGTGTCAGCATATGGTGAGCAGTAGTTTGGTCTTCTTTGATAAATGAGTAAAGAAGTTACACATGTGATCATGATTGGAAGGGTTAAATATGGGGTATCATGACCTCACATAACTGGGATTCTGACCTAGACTGAGGGACCAGGGAGACTTTCCTGAAGAGAGGCATCTAATTGAGCAAGAGCCCAAGCTAAGCTAGAGCTGACGGGGGCAGGAGTAAGAGGTCCAGTCCGAGGGCACAGGAGATGCAAAGGCCAGGAGGTGGGAAAGTTGAGGGAAGTAAACCAGTTAAACTGACTCATTTGGGTGATTAAATGAGCTAATAGACCTGAAGTGCCCAGTACACACAGTGTCTACTAAAAAATAAAATAAAAGGCCAGCTGTTGTCATTATTGCACATCCAGGGTTTGCCCTCCTGGTAACAACAATAACAGAATAAAAGGGTTCTTCCCTCCCGAACTACAAAAGCAATTCATAACATCAAGCCTTGATTACAGCTTGACTGTGGTATAAGTGACAAGCGATAAACCACATATATGCAAATACAAACTCCCTGTCACCCAAAATTTTCTCATGTGCTTTTGTACTCCCACTCTCTGCACCCCACCCCACAGTCAACAGGCAATCACTCATCCTGACTTTCTTGATAGATTATTTTGCATTTTCTAAAAAGCTATATACATGGAATTACATCATATGCTCTTCTTTTGGAATGGCTTCTTTCAGTAAGCATAATGATTTTTATGAGGTGGAATTCTTATAACCAGATATTAATCCTTTTAAAGTGAACATTTCACTGACACTATAGACAAAATGTTGTTCAGTCACTATGTTACCTAGTACTGAAACATTTTCATCACCACAAATAAAACTCTGCACCCAAAGAAAGGTTGCTCCCAACTCTACAGCCCCTATCCCTGGACACCCCCAATCTGAATTCTGTCTCCTTGTCTTTCATTTCCCTGTTTTCTGTACCATCTACCCTGCCAGCCTGTACATCTGGTGCCCCACTTGTCCCAATTTCAGGGCCCTAATCTAAGCCTTTAACACCTTATTCTTCCTCTGAACCGCATTTCTCACCAGTCACATCCATCTAGCTCTGAGGGAATGGCACCCCAGTACCAATGCACCAGCTCCAGTGGCTGCTTTCTCAACAGGTAGGTCAGTTCCCCTCATGTTCCTCAGCCCAACCTAAACCCACACATAGAGAGCATTCCTACATTAAAGCCCTAGGTGCCATTGAACTCATAAAATGCCTCACACCCCCAACCTCCCAAGCTTTACAATTTCCCATTCTGACTCTGAACAAACCCCATCCCTCCACGACCCCTTCTTATGTTCGCTTCTGCTTACCCACTATCCAACTTTGACCAAGTCCAAAAACAATCCACCATATACCCCAGAGGCCACAATTAGCAGGAAACAAAACAAAACCAGAGGAGAGATTTATTTCCATTTCCCAGGTTCTGCTTTTTGAATTTCTATACCAGACACATCGAGTTTGCAAAGCAACAACAAATAGAGACAACGAATGCAGACCCTGATGTCTGGCCTGAGCTCTGGGTCATGGAGGGCTGGAAACAGGGTCGTCCAGTGTAGGCCTGCGGGTGGCTGACCTCACAGGGACGTGCATGTTTACTGGAGTTGTTCTTTTATCACTGAATATTTGTTTAATTCTCTGTGATATTGTTCTTCAAAGGTGCAGTGAAAATGAATATAGAATGAGAACACTTTTGGTGGTTAGGTCGCATCTTCTCAGATCTGGTGCAAGGGCCACTCAGAGGCAACCTGGGAAAGATCTGGAAAGTCAGGCCATCTATTGCTGTAAACACCACATCAGAGGAGAGGAAGAAAAGTGGGAAACATTTTTTTGGAGGATTGTAGCCACATAAGGAAAGAAATGGGAAAATATGAAATTATGGTAAGGATGGACACTGTAAGATGACAGGTTCAGATAATTACAGGAAGATGATGTCAAAGTAAAACTTGAGCCATACAAATTTCGGGAGGTAAGAAAGTCCTTATTCAAGACCATGCAGCAGGGCAGTGAGACTGTCCTCAAAACACCTGAAATAAAAGGCTGGAGAGATTTTAAAAACAGAAGGAATCATAGGCATCAGTGTTTGCTAATTGGATTGACACAAGAGATAAATAAAACTCATTAAATCATGACAGGATGGTTTTCTTTCTTATTATATTTAAACCTAGTTGAGAGAGAGAGAGAGAGAGAGAGAGAGAGAGAGAGAGAGAGAGATGTTTGTGAGAGAGAAAATATCAGTTGCCTCCTCTAAATGCCTTGACCAAGGACTGAACATGCAAACTTTAGGTGTTTGGGAGAAAGTGCCAACCAACTTGGTCTCGCTGGTGAGGGTAAGCAGGATTTTTTACATCTTGGTTTTAAATGTCCCCAACCAAGTTAAGCTTCTACACTTCCTCAGAGACAGAGAAAAAGAAAACAGGCGAATTACATTTTAACAGAATGGACCCAAACCTTCTATGCAGATATTCTATGAATCATATTACTGACAAGAAGTTATGTTTATTAAAAATACACTTCTATTGATTTCAGAGAGAGGAAGAAAGAATGAGAGAGACATAGAAACATCAATGAGGAAAGAGAATCATTGATTGTCTGCTTCCTGCACACCATAACTGGGAATCAACCCTGAAAGCCGGCATGTGTCCTGACTGGGAATTGAACCATGACCTCCTGGTTCTTGGGTTGATGCTCAACCACTAAGCCATTACAGCTGGGAGGCAAGAAGCTTTTAAGGAGACTTAGGTATATTTCAAAAGGACAGAGAAAGGATCTGCAATTACAAATTGCAGTTATATTTATTTCTAAAGGAAATACTCTAAAAAATTAGAGATAAGAATCCTAGTCAGGAAGAAAAATTAAAGATCCTGAGGGAATAATGAGGCCTCTTGTTCATAACACAGCTGCGTTCTGCACAGTGTAGGCAAACACAACTAAATCCTTTCAGCCAAGTCCCAGTTTGCATTGCCATCAGTTCCTGCAATTTCTAAAGAAGTGCAAGTTCCCAGCCATTTATAAATAGATGCCAAATAGTTGAGAGACTGAACAGAGATGGCATCTGATCTTTCAGAATGAGACACTACATTTCTCTCTACAGTCACATTCCCTTTGATCAAACCTCACCTCCAAGGAAGACAAGTATTGTGATCCTATCATATATATGCCTGGTGTCATTCAATTTGGCCTGATTAGTGACCTAAGTGCAGAGGAATGACATTCACCTTCTACTTTGCTCTGATGCAGGTTTTTCTATGCAACCTGAAATGGGAGATTTAACAGCCTCTTGAGATTAGGCGGCCTCACCCTCACACTTCACCTGCAGTCTCTCTAGCTTTGGGTGATGCCCTCCTCTCAAACAGATTATGAGTCTTCAACAGGTCAAAAATAGCTCCATAAAAGGTGAGGTTGTTTATAATTCTGTGGGCATCAGTTTGAACTAGGACATTTGCTAAGCATCTCTTAAATTACCAACGTAAGAAGGACAGAGTGCTACTGAACTTATGCAAATAAGTCTGTTGCCATAAGCATAAGAATACTCCAGAAGGCATAAGTAATTTTTTGGGAGAAGTCAAACAGGGAGGCAAAGTCACTGTTGCATCTCACATAGGTGTTCTCTTGTCTATTCCCATCATAATCAGTGTCCAGGCACCCTCCACAGGTCTCCCTGGAAATGTGAGAGAGCTCATGTTCCTGTCAGCTTATGTATTACTCCTGCAGGTCTTTACACAATAACTGCCCCTCCTGTGAAGCACATGGTGTCCCCTCCATTGTGGAGATGGTGCAAATGGAACCAATCAGAGATGGGGTCCAATGTGGAATGTTACATTACGTTAACAATAATGACAATGCCAGCTCAAATTTTTTAGTATTTATTGATTCAAAGCAAGTCTTCTAAGCAATTTCCACGACCACAAGAAATCTAATAGGTGCATTTTTTTTATTTTTTTTTAGTTTAAGAACATAGGGAAGGGGAGGAGGATCACTAGTACTTGACATCTAACTTTACAGGCGCACTTGTAGCGGAGAAGAAGGGGTGGGAGACTTTACACTGGTAGTTCCCAGCATCCTCTCTCCTGACAGGGTCTATGGTGAGGGTTCTGTGGTCCTGGGAAAGCTTCATCCTCTTCCTGAGCCACAGACTCAGGAATAACCAGTTGGTGGAGCTCGCATCTGTGTGGCAGGTCATGACCACGGCATCTTCATTCTCTGTGACTGTGGTGTTGCTGGCTAGGAGTGTGGGCACACTCAGTGGCCCTGTGAAGAAATAGAGGGTGAGAATGATTGAGTGTGAGCTTGAGACCCGGGGCTATGCTCCTTCCTCAAAGATCTCAACCCTGACTCTGATTGCTCTGAGGGTAATTTGGTTCCACAGTAAAAATTAATTTATTCTAAATTTGTCATCACTCCCCAACCAAACGTATCCCTCTGAGCTGCTGACCCCTAAGAAGGAAGGATCTAAACCAATGTTTAGTCTAGGGATCCATAGACACCTAATAATGCCCTCAGGGTGGAGGTAAAGATAGGGCTGTGGCTGCACAGACCTCAGGTGACTCAGATCAACTTCTCAGAGTCTGTGTGACTCTGTTAGGGACTGTATCTCCCTATGCCTCACTTTCCCCTCAGTGAAGAAAAATGAATATTTGACTGATAGGTGGACCATGTACTAATCATAAAATATTCACAGTATCTGACATAAATATTTGGAAGGAAATTTGCTCAAATAAGAGGCATTTGTTATTGATGGACTTCACTAGAGAATCCCCTGGGCTGATCTCTTGTGGATGAGCTGCTGCCAGGAGCATGTTTTCTCCAGTTCCTCCCTTGGGACACTGATCTTTCTCTAGACTCTCCTAAGTCCCCCAGAACAGTCAGATAATAATCTGGGGAGCTAGTCCAATTTTGCTCTCCACATACAGTGTCAGGTGAAGGAGGGTTTAGCCCCAACTGATGACTAGCTCAAGAGCCTTGTGACTCTGGCACACGGGAAACTGTTGTTCTCACTCAGGCCTTCACCGGAGGCAAAACCCAACCTGACACAGGCTCCCCAGGACATTTGCAGTTAGGACATTGTTACAGGGGCCTGAGAGGGGCTGCCCAAGCTAAGCTCCACTGTGAGGAACTCAGGAAGCCCCTCAGGCCAGGACTTTACAGAGTCCTGCAGGTTCTTTTTCAGGGACATGATCAGGGAAAGTGGCCCAGGGACCTGGACCGAGACTGGTCTCCCTCTTCTCACTCACTCCCATCAAATTGCTCATTCTCTATGTGGTTAATGTCTGTGGGGCTGGAATCTGGGAAGGAAACTCTGACCTTAGGATGTTTGTCTCCACTGTGTGTGTCCTGCACTAAATTCCCAAACCCAGCTTGGGACATGATGCAGAGGGGGATAGAGGAGAGTCCAGGGCTGGCAGTCCTGTGTGTGAAGTAGAATTCACCCCACCCAACACCTAGAGGTCAGAGAGCAATCACTCACGGTATATACTGAGCCATCCAGATCCTCTTACTCTTTGTGAATTTGCAAGGACGGCTACTACGACATACGTATCTTCGTCCCTCGCAGTGACGTTTTTTATGATCAGGGTTCCATCAAGGTTTATTTCCTCTCGACCACTGTATTTGGGACCTGTTAGATATTCACTGGAATACCATGGACGAGACCCAATGAAATTATGGTAGTTCATCTCTTCTCCCCTGTACCAAATAAACCCTGTAACATCAGGAGGTGTATTGCGGAGATGTAGAATCACATCATGCCCTTCAAAAGCAAAGGTCGAGGCAATAGCAAATCGAGCAGTGGTGGGCGTGATCCACAAGGTTAAGAGGAAGACTAGAAGGGAAGAGAGAAATTGATCAGTATTTTGATCTACGTATTGGGATGTAGCGATGAGGCATTTCTCTTCATCTCTCAGCCTTAGTCTTCATGTGAGTTCATGTGTGCATCTCCTTGGTCAAGGTCAGCAACATGGCCACCATGGCTTCAGCACCTCAGAACCTATGCTTCTTGTTTTCAATTCTATTTCCCAACTGTCTCTGTGGCTGTCCTAATTACTTCCCTCAGATCTCTGTTGACATTTGGTGGCCTTCTTGGAGGACCTTCCCTGACCACGTCCTCTAAAGACCCTCTATCTTCACTCTCTGACCTGTCCCCGCTCTGTGCCCTTCAAGGCACTAGTGGGTACCTGATGTCACAAGTAGATCTCTTCTTGTTTCCTTTCTCCCCATATAATGTGAGCTGCATGTGGGCAGGGGATTTTGTGATCTTGTGCGCCCAGTGCCTGCAATAGGCTACAAACACCTGTTGGTGAATGAATGACTGTCCCAGGGCTTGTCCACGTCCCATGTTGTATTTTCCCATATTTGTAGCTGGTGGTGGGGACAATGTTTAGCACCCTGGTAAAATGATTCTGGTATCACCTGAAATAAATTGTCATGACTGTGGTCAATTGTCAAAATTTAATACTCAGTGATCAATAACATAGCAAATGAACCATGATTGAGGTTTTCCTACCTCTCACCACTTCCACATGATCAGATATTATTGTTGTTGAGCTCCCTCTCTCATCCTACTCTGCACACCTGTCCTTTTACTCAGGTCCAAAGGGAAGCACTTCTTTCCCTCACAGAGCGCTGTCCTCCCCAGGAGATCTTGGCCAGTCTCCGACTCCCAACCTCCCTTTCATTCCCTGGGATTGTCCCCTCCTTACCGGCCAGCAGGAGCCCCAGCCTGGGGACACGTCCTTTTAGGGCAGAAGCTGCAGGGAACTCCATGGGGACTGCTGCCTGCTCCGTCCCTTTCTCTGAGAGAAGAGTGTTAGGTCCAGTAAGGCTCCCAGACACCTCTGTCCAGACTGGTGGGATGTGCTCTCCCTCCTCCCTGTGTGCTGAGCCTCCTGCTGGGACAAGATAACCTCCCCGGTAATGTGGGCCAGGGCTGGGTCAGTGCCAAGGACATTCCCCTCATTTTTTCCAACACTGTTGCCCTTTTGAGTTTACCTTTACTCTGTATTTTTGTTCCTTGGAAACCCCTGAAGCCTCTGAGAACACACACCCATACACACACAAACTTAAACATGCACAGACACGTGCCCAGTAAAGCACTTGCCTGGGGCATTCAGTTCCTTGTCATTTTCCACAGCTCTCTGTCAGTGCACATTTGACTTTTCTCTTCAGCGCAAGAGGTCTGGGGCTGTTATGGGTTTACTCAGCGAGATAGACCACCAACTCAGAATTTAAATTTAAGAGCCTTTATTAAGCTGGCCAGCTGACTACAGCTACAGCACCCTGCCTAAGCAAAGGCTGAACTGCAGTGCCAAATTCCATGGCCAGCGACTACAGTTACAGCACCCTGCTGGAGCAGAGGCCAAACTGCAACGCTAACTGCAAGTGTTACATTTTATTATTAAATTATGTGGAAGCCCAGAGAAAAATGTGTCATTCAAATTCTGGGTCCCCAATATGGAGGAAACTCTTTTTATTTATACTTTTTCTAGTCCTTTGTCTCCCAAGTTTGGAATGAGAGTTTTGGGCCTTCTGAGAAAGAAGGCCTGTGTGCTGGAAAGGGGCCATGAGACCATATCTCAAGGCCTGGCCTGATGTCAGTACCTTCCTTTGTATGTGTTTTAGGAACAGACAGCACAGCATGACCCGTCAGGCCAAAGCGCCACATATGCAGCCCAGCACATTCCCCACTGGTTTTATGTACATGAGTCGAATCATTGACTCTTCTGGGTTATTGTTGGGGAGGGAGTTATATTGACCGTTGAGGACTATAGAATTAATTCTTTGCCAAATGAAGTCAGTGGGACTGTTTATAAGATAAGGGCCTGGAATGAGGGCCCACTGAGTCCTGGACTTTTTATTTTGCCTGGGCTGTCTTAAGCCAGGTGTGATGAAGCCATGTCAGGATCCTGTTGACCTTGGTTGCCATGGGGGTGGTCCTTTCCAGGCAGGAGTCAGTCCTTGGGTGGAAAATTTCTTTACCCAAAAAGAGTCACCAGGTTGGTAGGGATGAACCGGATACAGGCAAATTATCTCGGACGTGCTTCTGGTCTGCTTTCTGGGTAGACTGTAAAGCCTGAAAGAACTTGAGTAAACTGGTGAGATGAGTAGTTCAGGGTCTGGAAGAGTCACTAGAATCTGTAAAGGCCCCACTGGTTTTGGGACAGCCTTTCGGGCTGCTTCGTCTGCAGCCTAGTTCCCTCTTGCTTCTGGGGAGTCTGTGCCAGTTGGCCCATCATCCTTGCTCTGCTCATGTCTGTCTAACTGCCTACTATATTACCTCAAGGATCCTGGCTCTGAATTCTTTCAGGGAAAATGGGCGTTGGATTTCTTCTGTAACTGCTTTGAGCTGAGGAGGGTCAGAAGTTTCTCTCAACGCCAAGGGATCCTTGCTGTCTGTCAGAGGGACGATGAGGCCTGGGCACAGAAGGAGGTGGGCTTGTGACCTGGCGGAGACAAACTATAACAAATGGTCTGGTGGGAGGGAAAGAAAACATTTCAGTTTTAATAACCTCTATGGAAATAGAGTTTTTCTCCTTAATATTACCCCTCTGTTTATTAAAATACTAATTTATTTACTGTATTCAATTTGGCCTGATTGTTTGCATAAAAATAACAAGGATGGTAACCGACTACCTTTGCTGGAATCCTATGATTGAATCTTAATGTGTCCCATAAGGCCAGGAAGCCAAGCCATCCAGCTGCCATCAGGCCTGCCTGCAGTATCTGCTGCCCATTGTCCTTGTTTCAAGGCCCTTCTCAGCAGCCCTCCTACTCATCGTGGCCCAGAGTGCATGGGGGTTCCATGCTCCCCTTCTACTCTGACCAACTGCCAGTGATGGTAGGGCATGGGCCTGACGCCAGCGCCAGCTATTTTCAGGGCTCCCAAGCAGGATACCAGTCTTTCTCCATGGCACTCTTATTGGCTTCAAGTCTTCAGAGCTCAGACAGGGCTCTTTAAAATATGATACTCCAGTCAAAGTTTCTAATTAATAAAACCACTATTGGAAACCGGTTTTATTGAATTTATGCAAAGAAATGTATTGCCATGATTTATTTAGCATTGCCAAATTTCGGAGGAATTATATAAGGAGAAAAAGCCACTGACCTGCCTTAAGATCTTCTGATTTTCCTTGTCAGTCCTTTTTAAGGACTCTCCAGGGTTATAAAAAAAAAGTAATTGTTGTGTTTCTTTTATCAGTCCCCTCTAAGTACTTTGGCATAACTATTTACTCTCTCTGGCTTACTGGCCTGTAACATTTGGTTACTTTCCTTTCAATATTTCTTTTCTCCTTCTTATCACATACACAACCTTTCTAAATTTTATACTTTTAAATTAGCCTTTAAACCTTCTTTCTATGTCCTTTAAAAATGCATAACTATGCCTCAGACCTTCTACTCAGTAATTCCTTATTCTTAGAAACCTCAGTCCTTTAATGATTACTATAAAGTAAATAGCCAGTATTTCATATTGTATTAGTCTAATTTAGTATTGGAAAGGTTAAATAGAACAAAACGGGGCAGAGAAAAACTTACTGTGCTCAGTAGCAGCTTTCGGCCTTGAGTCCAGCACAGTTCAGATAAGTAAAAATCAACAAAACTTCTGGTCTGCTTTCCCTGCTGATGGCCCTCCTCTTTTCTGAATTAAACATTTCCTTAGCTGCTCTCTCTCCTAGATTTTTCCTTCTCTACTCTAAGCCCTAGAGGCTCAAATTATTCTCCTCCTTTACCACTTTTGACCTCTCTGACTATCCCCCTGTCCCCCAGCCTAGGGCTCCTCCATCTCAGCAGGCTGAGAGCCTACCACCCTATCTAGTGAATCCTACCACTACTACCCCATCTCACACCCACTCTGAAATAGTTTTCAGCTCTCTTCCTCTCACAGTTAGAGCGGATGCTGTCCCCAACAGAGACCTACTGTAAATCTATCAGGAAGGGCAGGCAAGTCGTAGGTCTTGGGACCACATGATAAAAATACAGCAGTCCCTCTCCATCACCCTATACAAGCTATAAGAAAATGTACTAATCTTAACCTAATAAGCCTTTGTTTAAACTTCTTTGGGTTGCAACCTTATACCTTTAAATTAACCCTAGACTTCTAAAATTTTAACCTAACAAAGCAAAATTATACATTAGGGAAAAGCATTTAAAAGTTCTCTACATTCTTCCCCTTAAAGCACAGTTTGCCCTATCTTTAAACAAACAACAGAAAGAGATAACAAATACTCTTATGTGTACATCCAGACAGCACAAAGTAGCTTTCGCTTCATATAGACTCTTACACTTACATTCATACACCAGACAGTCCAAGTTTTTGACTTCTACCAAATGTTTACTTAGAGTTTAAGCAATCCAACCAATTCCTGACTAATTGCCTAAGGGAGCTCCATGGCTTCCAGGGAGGTGATCAAGCTCCCCTTCCACTCACTTGGATTGGGCCTGATTGATAGGGGGTCGATGAAGATGACTGACCCTGACCCATTTTGACAAAGACAAAGACAACAGAGAACAAAGACAACAAACACCAGACAACAAACACTAGTCAGACAAACCCGGTGCAGCCTAAAGCCGCACAAACCAGGGACCCTGGCTACCATTGTGGCCGCAGGTCAGGACCAGGAGTACCGCTGAGTCCAACCCTCCATATAGGTCCTTCCGTGGGACTTCCCAATTCCAGATTAACGACCGGTCTCCCTTACCTCTCTCGAGAGTCCAGGTGGCTCAGTTTCTGAATTGAAAGTTTTGGGTGGAGCCTCCTCCGGCTCCCTGGGACCCGGGACAGAGACTGGAGGCCTCCTTGGTAGTCGTTCCCCCCAGGGATGTGGGATATCTCACTGCGTGCCCTGCGATAAATGGAAGAGAGCCTCCTGCATTAAATAGGGGGTCCCTCACACCTCTGCTGGGGGAGAGCCTCTTGCCCTAAATAAGGGGTCCCTCTCACCCCTGAAGGGGATCTCGCTGGGGCCTCTGAATGCTTTGGGTTCACTCAGCGAGATAGACCACCGACTCAGAATTTAAATTTAAGAGCCTTTATTAAGCTGGCCAGCTGACTATAGTTACAGCACCCTACTGAAGCAAAGGCTGAACTGCAGCGCTGACTGCAAGAGTTATATTTTATTATTAAATTCTGTGGAGGCCCAGAGAAAAATGTGTCTTTCGAATTCTGGGCCCCCCAATATGGAGGAAACTCTCTTTATTTATACTTTTTCTAGTCCTTTGTCTCCCAAGTTTGGAATGAGAGTTCTGGGCCTTCTGAGAAAGAAGGCCTGTGTGCTGGGAAGGGGCCATGAGACCATATCTCAAGGCCTGGCCTGATGTCAGTACCTTCCTATCTATCAGACAGCACAGCCTTACCCGTCTGGCCAAAGCCCCAGATATGCAGCCCAGCCCAGGGCCACCTCAGAAAAATTGTCACAGGCATGCCCCGGCTCTGCATTTGATCTCCTGTGAAACTTTGTAAAGATTGGGATGCACAGTTGATATTTTTGAAAGGCTGCTTCAGCAGCTGCCCAGCTACATGGATGCCAGGATGTGACCCTATGATGGGAGGGTCTCCACATCTTGTTAAAATGCAGATTCTGACTCGGCAGGTGTGCGGTGGACCAGAGACTCTGCATCTAACAAGCTCTCAGGAGAGGTCGCATATACTGGCTTTGTGGAGCCTGCTTGCAACAGCAAGGCTGATGGAGGCACATGACCCTCTCACTCCAGCATTTGCCCTTGCTACATCTTGGTCTTTGGTCCATCACCACCACACAGAGAGCCCAACAGGCCACAAACTGGGGATTATTTCTAGTGGTGACACAGAAACACAGATGGGCACTGGGTCTTTT